GAGATATTTATGAAGGAGGTTGAACACAAGAGCATGTAGCTCATTAAGCATGCAAACAAGATGATGGATTGCAGAACAAAACTAGCATCAGGAGCTACAATTTTGGACTTCTTGCCATTGGACTTTTCATTTCCTTCCCTCCATTAATCCGCTACCTCGATTATCCTGTTCCATATGTAAATACAAGAAACATATGGAGGAAATTGTTGTAACATGGCTGAAATTAAATTCATTTATTTTCGAGTTTGGCTTGCTTTGCATTAAAGTTCTTGGTAGGTAACTCAAAATTAACAATTCTTCCTCCTGACTAAATTCAATACTCTGCTACACAAGAAGACATAAAGAAACTAGGAACCTGTGGTTATGAATCTTAAATTATAACTAAAACCCATCAAGCAAAAATCTTTTAAGAAAATTATGAAAAAAGAAGTAACCTGCTCAACATCATCTCTATCAAAGTCATCTCTGGACTGGCTGCCACAGATCCCTGCACCCTCGGCGTCAACACCCCTGCTGCCTGTTGGGAATTTAACGCCTAAACCCCCTAATGCAACGGAAACGCGGTATAGAGAACAGTACACCAAGATTTACGAGGTTCGGCAACTGCCTACGTCCTCGGGAGCCACACAGTTAATTTCTTATTTATTCTAACAAGAAATTACAAATCAAGAGCAAATCTCTAAACTGAGATTCCTCAAACAAACACTGTAGCTACAGTGTTAATACCCACAATAAAGGAATAAACCCCTTTCAGATCTCTCTCTCTCTCTTCCCTTTTAAATCCCTTTTCTTAATCTCCCCTCAAAATCAAATGAGAGCTGGAGATTTGGGAACGCTGCTGCGTTTAAAGGTGGGAACGCTACTGCGTTGAAAAACCGCCGCCAGAGAGAGATCGGGGGAGGAGGAGCAAACCAGACCCTAGGGCTTCGAGGGGCTTTTATAGCCGAATCGAGACAGGCTGGCGACAGCCTGTCGCCAGCGATCACTTGGACGCGGAGGTGGGAGCGTCTGGACGCGAAGGTCGGCATCCCGAAGGCCGAGGGTCGCGTTCGCCACGAGCATCGCGTTCGCCACGAGCATTGCGTTCGCCTGTTCGAGCTCCATCTCGAACTGAGCCTGGAGTTCGCCGTTGCCACCCACGCTCACCTGCGACAACCTGGAGCTCGTCGGAGCTCCTCCGCCGTCGGAGGTTGGTATCCACCTCCAACCTAACAATCTCCCACTTGGAGACCAAACCGACGGCAACAGGCTATCTCATCAAGCTCCTCTCCTGTGTGGCTCCGCCCTCATCATCTATGCATGAGGGCCAACTGTGGTGCGTCGGGCTCCTGCGCACCGTTCTGTCCAACAGGCTCTTCTGGCTGAGGACCTTCTGCATTGGGTTCTTCCGAGAGGTTATCTGGGACATCATCTGTATCTACAAATGTTGACTCGCTCTCTGAGTCACCGTCATCTGTCTTGTGCATGTCCTTGTACATCACCTTCTCGTTGAATGTCACATCTCTGCACCTGATCACCTTCTTGTTTTCGTTGTCCCAAATGCGGTAGCCGAACTCGTCTTCACCATACCCGATGAATGTGCATTTCTTGGACTTGGGATCAGGCTCATTCCTGCCTTGATCACTTATATGCACATAAGCTACACAACCGAAAACTTTGAGATGTGAGAGGGTTACCTCCTTTCCGCACCATACCTCTTCTGGTATTCTGTGCTCCAATGGAACCGATGGACCTCGGTTGATCAAGTAAGCTGCTGTGTTGACTGCTTCTGCCCAGAACTGCTTCGGTAGACCTGACTGCATCCGAATGCTTCTGGCTCTCTCTGTCAACGTTCTATTCATGCGCTCAGCCACACCATTGTGCTGAGGCGTGCCGGGCACGGTCCTCTCCATTCTGATACCGTGCTCATAGCAGAACTTCTTGAATCTGGTGTCTTCATACTCACCACCATTGTCTGTTCTGAGTTTCTTTACCCTCAAACCGGTCTCATTCTCGACCATGGCTTTCCATCTTCTGAAAGCCTCAAACACTTCTGACTTTTTCTTCAGAAAGTAGACCCATACTTTCCGAGAGTGATCATCAATAAAAGTCACGAAGTAGTGTTTCCCACCAATCGACGCGGTGGTTGTTGGTCCCCAAACATCTGAGTGAACAAGCTCTAGCTTCTGCTTCCTGGGGGGTCTGCTACTTGCCTGAAAGCTAACTCTCTTCTGCTTTCCAAGTATGCATTCTTCACACACATCAATCTCTACTGATTGTAAACCTGGGAGTTTTCTCTTTGTGTGCATAACCTTCATCCCCTTTTCACTCATATGACCGAGTCTCTGGTGCCACAGCTTTGAAGTCTCATTGCCTGCCGCAACTGAGATCGAACAACGTGCACCCGCTGTCATATACATGGTACCAGTCTTCCTGCCTCTGGTAATCGTCATTGCGCCCTTCGAAATCCTCCAGTCATCGCCATGGAAAGTCATCGTGTAGCCTTCACTAGCCAGCTGGCTTACTGAGATTAAGTTCCTCTTCAGGTCGGGAATATACCTGACATCCTTCAGCTCCCATACTGACCCATTCAGCTTAATCTTCACTACACCTTTGCCAACAATGGCACATGCTTGATCGTCACCAAGATATACATTTCTAAGGTTTCCGAGGATATACTTCTCGAGGAATTCTTTCTGAGAAGTAGCATGGAATGATGCTCCCGAGTCCAACACCCAAGACTCCTCCTTGCTCTCCAAAGAGCATATCAGCGCATCATCTCCTCCTGAAGTGGAGGCAACGTTCACATCTGCATTTGCCTCCCACTCCTCCCGTGCACTCCTGCACTGATTCTTGTAGTGCCCGATTTTCCCGCACTTCCAACACTCGATAGCCTTCGAACTGTTGGGATTTCTGGATTTGGATCTCCTATCATCTGATCCATTTCCTCTGGTTGAACTTTTACCTCTTGACTCTGTATGCAATACTGAAGAGGTTGTAGCTTCACCCGACTCTCTCCGTCGGATCTCCTCACTGAGAACCAGATCACGAACGTCATCAAACTTCAACTTATTGCTTCCCGATGAGCTACTCACAGCTGTGACCGTAGCGTTCCAACTCTCTGGTAGGGAAGACAAAAGGATCAACGCTCGAACTTCCTCATCAAACTCAATATCAACTGAACTCAATTGGGTCGTGACTGTATTGAGTTCATTGAGATGATGTGCTACCGATGCACCTTCCGCCATTCGCAGATTAAACAACCGCCTCATCAAATGGACTTTATTTGAGGCTGATGGCTTCTCATACATATTGGAGAGTGCTGCCATAAGATCTGCCGTGGTCTTCTCCTTTGCAATGTTAAAAGCAACATTGCGGGTTAACGTCAAACGAATAACCCCGAGGGCTTTTCTGTCCAGAAGATTCCAATCTTCTTCCTTCATACCCTCCGGCTTCTTCCCCGAGAGAGGTTGATACAGATTTTTCTGATACAGATAATCCTCTATCTGCATTTTCCAGAATCCGAAATCTGATCCATCAAACTTCTCTATTCTCACCTTTCCCTCATCTGCGGCCATGGCTCCCACTTGAATCTGACTTCCTCTAGATCGTTTCACGCTCTGATACCAGTTGTTGGGAATCTAACGCTGAAACCCCTAATACAACAGAAACGCAGTATAGAGAACAGTACACCAAGATTTACGAGGTTCGGCAACTGCCTACGTCCTCGGGAGCCACACAGTTAATTTCTTATTTAATCTAACAAGAAATTACAAATCAAGAGCAAATCTCTAAACTGAGATTCCTCAAACAAACACTGTAGCTACAGTGTTAATACCCACAATAAAGGAATAAACCCCTTTCAGATCTCTCTCTCTCTCTTCCCTTTTAAATCCCTTTTCTTAATCTCCCCTCAAAATCAAATGAGAGCTGGAGATTTGGGAACGCTGCTGCGTTTAAAGGTGGGAACGCTACTGCGTTGAAAAACCGCCGCCAGAGAGAGATCGGGGGAGGAGGAGCAAACCAGACCCTAGGGCTTCGAGGGGCTTTTATAGCCGAATCGAGACAGGCTGGCGACAGCCTGTCGCCAGCGATCACTTGGACGCGGAGGTGGGAGCGTCTGGACGCGAAGGTCGGCATCCCGAAGGCCGAGGGTCGCGTTCGCCACGAGCATCGCGTTCGCCTGTTCGAGCTCCATCTCGAACTGAGCTTGGAGTTCGTCGTTGCCACCCACGCTCACCTGCGACAACCTGGAGCTCGTCGGAGCTCCTCCGCCGTCGGAGGTTGGTATCCACCTCCAACCTAACAAAACTCGAACCAGCATTTAGCTCCAGTTGCGCCCAGAACCTGAGCCGTTTGTTCTCGTTGTGGGTCCCACTATGGAGGAGCTCAGCTTGCTGTTTTGGGTCTTTACCAACCGAGCTTCCTTGTAAAGGCCAAGAAAGGGAGAGGAGCTCAGTGCTGAGCTTCTCTAGCTGAAGATGATGAGGATGATGATGGAGATGGGATGTGGACATCATGGATGGCGCATGGCGTTGGTGCCCATTTTTGGAATGTTTTTGTTGATGGGTTTTGAGGGGAGACAGGGAAGGAGAGGGGAAAAGGATAGGACATTTATTGGTAGTTGGTTCTCGTTTTTAGTTTTACATGATGTTAGTGCTTGAAATTGTTCCATTTGTTTGCATGTTAGTCCTTGTAAGCTCTCATATTTGGGCTTCATCATGATGAGGTGATGCTGTCGAGCTGTAGACATGTGCTTGCGATACACGCCTGTAAGTAAGCTTTACACGGGTGCGGTCCCTCAAGCATCACAAGATGAAATGAAACAATAGGTTGAAACAAGAAAGTAATGAGAATCCCTTGCGCGTCGCAAAGGCTAAATTCACAAGAAGAAGATGACCCTACACATTAACAACCACAAAGGCTAAATCGGACCCGACCTGGAGTTAATGAGCCTTAAACAGATGTTAGAAATCAAACTAATCAAAAGTTTTGAATGATCAGTAATCTCGACCCCGACTTTCTATTAAGTCCACTATTCTTTAACTTTTTTCAATGTGGGACTATACTCAGCACATGAAATCCCAACAAAATCACAAAGCATATGCAATAGAAAACCTGAGGACAGAAGGCAAGAAATTGCCTCAACAAGGCTAGATGATAGATTCAGAGAGCTTAGAAAACCCGAGTTTCTTAAATCGACTGCTCCTTGGATTGTTGCACTTGAGATCTACCGCTTCTACTATGCAACTCTGCCCTTTCTTCTTCTTCTTCTTGTCAAATTTCTCTGTGCTAGTTTCGATGGAGGCGAGCATTGGAGATCTGTGCTCATTTGTCCTAGACTTAGGCTTTGGCTTTGGCTTTTGAGCATCTGCAGGGATTCTGCTCTCAGAATTGCTGCAGTTGCTACTGCTCGAAGAACCGATGGCTTGACTTCTTCTTGGCTGATTTCTCCTAGGAGAATATCCACAAGGGACTGAAACCGGAGGGTCCTGAAGTTTCTTTTGAGAGGAAGAGGAAGAAGAAGCGTGAGATGAATGTTTCATGGACTCCAACTCTCTGGACATTAAAGAACTAATTGTGCCGGTAGCTCCAATCTTGATTTGATCTCTGCTCTCGTTACGGATTTCTCGAGTTTGAGGCATGATCCTCTACAAGAAGAAAAGGGCTCCAATATGTCACTATGATGAACACATGGAATGAATCACGTAATGGAGGTAGAATGACTAGGTAGTAGAATATGAATTGCAACGCTTGCGAAAGCCTCGTTACAAGTAATTATTACAGGTGGCGCATGTGCAGGAAGTAAGTGAAGAGAAGGCGCGGAATATCCGAGGAATTGGTTCATCAAGTAAAGAAAAGTATACAAAGCTTTCTGTTCAGCTCCTCAGAGGGTTGTGAATACGAAAGAAAGAATCACATTTGTTGAAGCAGCAAGCTATCAAGAATCATTTCTTGTATTTGGTGTCAGCTTAACAGATCAAGAAACAAACAACCAACCAAGGGTAGAACTGACAATGATCAACTTCTCATTAATCCCGTATACACACAGTAATAGGCAAAGAGCTGCATCCTAATTTTCATGAAATTTTTATGAAGATTGGATGTAAACAATAAATACATTTCAGTTACTCCCTTGAGAAAACACACTAACATAGAACTAAAACCTCTATGAACCAAAAAAAAATCCATTCTTTCTTGGCTCCATTGAGTCTCACCAGCGCTAAACTAACAAACAATCAAACAAAAGCAAACATAGAACTGACAAGCTTACGCTATTCGCTGCATTTCAATATTTACCTAGAAATGGACAAAACCCAAGAATGAAGTAAAACCCATTACAATTTACGCCATGAGGGGCTCAAATGCAAACATATTCATGTAATCTATTTTGTAAAAGAAAATTAGAAAAAAATGAAATAAAGAGATTGAAATCAGTGGGAAAATTGATCAAGTATTTACCCGTAGAAATCGACGGATCGTGAAGCAAAAGAAGCTCAAAAAAGGGAAACTTTCTTCTTCTTCTTTTTTTAATTTTAATTCCAAGGCCGAATTTTTGGGGGAACGAAGTTGATGGGCGGTGGACCTCTTTTTTAATTAACAGCCCGCCGTCCACAGTGCCGTTATCTGTTTAATTTGTGCCTCTTGATCCGTTTAGTTAACGTGAGGAGCTTAAATTGGGCTTTAGTTTTGGGGTCTTCAGGTGGTGTAGGATGGCAAGCGGTTGTAATTGTCGAGAACGTTTTATCATTTGGAGATTAAGAAACATATAGTTTATATGATACAAGAAAATATATTGGTTAAAAAGGTAAGATCAGATCCCGATCGTCAAAATTAACCTCAAATTTATTAATCCAAGTGTCAAAACAAATGCAACCGTATGACCAATGTATATTCAAATATTTCGGGTACGAATTGGTGTTTTCGAAGGAAAGTATAAATTTGTACTCATCTTGTATACCTCACAATGTCAAGCTACTGTAGTTTGCAGTTCCGTGTATAATAAAGGGGGGCTAAGATTTATTTAAAGAAAATACAAACTCAGCACCCTACCATTAAACAAACCAAATATGTGACAACAAGGGAAAACTGAAGAAACAAAACAGAAACATAGAATTCTGCAAAAAAGAACCATCAACCTTATGTACAAATTACAAATGTCAGACACATGGTTTCTTTATTTTCTTGACATGTATCTTTATTATGATCAGTTTCATACATCAAACTGACTGACTTTCAAGTTCATCTAAAAAAGAAGGGGAAAAACCACCAGAAAGCCCTCATTCTGTCGAAAACTCAAACACCATATTATGTCGATACCTCTCGCCAGGATAAACCACAACTGATGGAAACTTTGGCTCATTAACAGCATTTGGAAATCCCTGAGTCTCCAAGCAAAGCCCTGATTGCTTCTCATAAACTGCACCCCCTTTTCCAGCAACACCATCGACATAGTTCGCTGTATAAAATTGAACTCCTGGAGCATCAGTCCACAGATTAAGTACTCTAGAACTCAGAGGATCCTTAACTTTAGCCGCACGTTTCAAACCCGATATTTCTTCTCCTAAATCAAGCACATAATTGTGATCATATCCACCGGGAACTTCATTGAATCTGCTGCCAACTGTTTTCTCGGTTGTGAAATCAAAAGGGGTGCCCTCAACTGCCATAATTTCTCCTGTGGGGATTGAGTTTTTGTCGGCTGGTGTTATTTGAGAGGCCCAAATTTGAATCTTATGATTCAGTATGTTCCCAGAGTTGTGACCGGCTAAATTCCAGTATGTGTGTTGTGCTAAGTTGATAGGGGTGGCTTTGTTCATAGATTCAGCTTCCATTTCGAGTTTGAGTGAAGTGCTTGAGTGAAGAGAATAAGTTGCGGTGACCATCACATCTCCAGGATAACCTAAATTGAAGAAGAAAAGGTGAAGAATGAGATGTATTGTGCATTATTTTGGTTTGTATCAGTATTTGAGTTTTTTTAGTTTATTTATACCTTCTTCTCCATCTTTGCTGTGGTGTTTGAAGGTGATTGACGGGTTTTCAGTAGTTTTGTAGTCTGTGACCTCCCATAGCACTTTGTTGAAGCCATTGTTACCGCCTGATATGTTGAAAAAGAGTGAGAATAGCATTTTTTTTAAACCAATAATTAAAAAAAAGGATGTCGCAGACCTCTGTATATTTGAGGTTTACGGTGAACAAAGCCAATAATAGTTTCTAAACTCTCGTTTCCCTCGGGAAAAAAAAACTTTCTAAAGTCTTGTTATGACAATTTATTACTTAGTATCTCAAAAGCCAAAAATAAAAGATAAAAATTCCAGAATATCTTACTAAAATACGACTGACTACTAGAGCTTAGAATACGATGAATCAGTATACGTCTACGAGGCTCCCACCTAATCAAAATGGCATAAAGGTAAGCCTTGTCAAACATAAATCATAGTTTTGCTTCCAACCTTGAAATCTCCATACGCAGTATAAATTCTGTGACAGGTCCATTGCATATAACGGGGCATAAAATTCTTACATAAGCGCAATTTGACAACACGTTTCTTCTATTCGTTGTCCTCCTAGAAAAAGTCACATACAAGTTTGCGGCTAGTTCATGTAGAGATACCCATCCTGGAATCATACTATCAAGCTAGAGAAGTACTTGACACCATTTCCCTTCTTTTCAATGCTTCATCATAACCAAAACCATTTCCCCAAAGCTAGGAACACAAAACCTAAACTATACATGTTCATGTAAGAATCAACACAATCTTAAAAGTCGATGAACACCTGTCCTCGAGATACTGAGTTGGTTAACCATCCGAAAACCTCAACAACCAGGGTGATTCATACATTGACCCAAGGCCCTGCGAACGGGCGTCTTTAGGTAAGTTCAAACCCAAGTACAACAAAGGTGATACAAAAATTCTGTGCACATAAAGATCCCAAGTGTGGTAATAGACGGCCAGAATTTTTTTTTTTTTTTTTAATTTCAAAAATTCACATCCCTTACCATGAAGACTGTTGGGAGGATTGTTGATGGGCAAAGAGTAATCAACCCCCTCAAGAGTGAACTTCCCTTCTTTGATTCTGTTCGCCACTCGACCAACAATGCATCCAAAGTACGGCGCGTTATCGTTCTGATGCAAGACAAATTAGAATATCCCAAACGGGCTTTTGAAAAAAAAAAAAAAAACAGACAGATTTACGCTATGAAGTTTTCGGTTTCGTTGAGAGAAAACACACAAGATCGAATCTTTTTCAGCCAACTTGCAGAAAAACCAAACGAATCAAGATGGGGTCTCAAGGGAGAGCAGTGCTTACAATGTAAGTGTCGAGAGAATCAAATCCAAGAACAACATCAGCGACGTTTCCTGAAAACCCAGTAACAAATTACATCAGATTAAGTTCTTGAGTAGCATAAAAGTAGATAAAATCGAAAGAGGGAGTAAGAACTGAACCATGGGCATCAGGGACGAGGAGGGAGACGATCGTGGCGCCAACGTTGGTTAATTTGACCGCAATTCTTCCATTGCTCAGCTCAAATACTTCGGGTTTCGCCATTGAATCCAAAGCACTGATCTTTCTTTCTTTCTTTTTTTCCTTTTTGGGGATGATAACAAAACGCTGCGACTTTCGCTGAGATGAGAGGCAGCTCGAGGCGGCGTGAGTCGGCAGCCGACGATTTCGTTGCGAAATATCGCGTGAAATCGGGATATTGATAAGGCTAAATCTTGATGATGTTTTGCTTCGGTTTTGTTGCGATTTTTTAATTTTGATAACAACTCAAAGTTTTTTTTTTCAACACTTTGATATCTTAAAAGTTTACACTTTTTTAACTTGGATACCTCAATAAAAAAAAAAATCCAGGCGCTTTGATACTCAACATTTATATCTTTTTGAACTTTGATATCGCAAGTTTACACATCGTTTTATTTTGGTACCCAATATTTGAGGCATTAAAGGGTCAAAACAAAAAGTTTAGGATTCCAAAGTTACGGAATGTGTGAACTTGGGGGCGTACAAATATCAGAAGAGAACATTGAGGTATCAAAGTCAAAAAAAAAAAAAAAAGGTGTAAACGTTGGCACATCAAATGCCAAATAAAAAGTTTGAGGTGTGAAGGTTAATAATCTTGCAATTCCAGGTACCAAATTGCAAATAACTTTTTATTTCATGAGGCTTTAGTACTGTTGTTCTCAACCTTCTATACCTTTTTTACTATAGCATCTCCAACAGCTTCCCCATCTTCTTAAAATACTTAATTTTGGGGAATATAGAGCTATGTTTAAGTCTAACAGTTTCTCAATCACATTCCCTAAAATGGGGATGGAGAAGAAAAAAAAGGGTCTTTCCCCAAATCTGCAGCATTCTGCAAAAATTCTTCCTTCTCCAAATTCTTGAAAGTAACATTGTCTTTCCCCAAATCTGCAGCATTCTGCAAAAATTCTTCCTTCTCCAAATTCTTGAAAGTAACATTATCATAAATATCTCACATTCTTAAAATTCTTCCTTCTCCAAATTCTTGAAAGTAACATTATCATAAATATCTCACATTCTTCAAAGAAGAAAAAATATATATCTAATATTTTATTGAGTTTTATATTGTTATAATAAAATATCAAACATTTATTTTCTTAATAATTATTGAGTATGTAGGATGTTTTATAGTTGTAATAAATGCCTAAATCCCTAAAATGGGGAAGCTGTTGGATTTGAAGCAAAAAAAATTAGAGAATTTGACATTTTGCTTCACCATTTTAGAGAAATTATGGTGAAGCTGTTGGAGATGCTCTTAGGTGTCTATCTACAAAAATAAAACTAAAGGCATAATAAGTTCAAAGTAGTGATAATACAGGTGATCGATACCGATACTTGGATAGTGAGAGGGTACGACTGAGAATTGTGAATATTCAATCACTAGCGTAATTACTCTACTCCTATAGGATAGTTCTGATTGGATCCCTGCCACATCATATATGAATAATTATTTCCTTATCAAACCCCTTCTTTATAGAAAATTTTTTCTAAATAAACTCATTCGTATTTTTTTCTAAAAATAGACCTCCTTGAGTTTTATTTACAAAAATTAACTCATTTTATCTTAATTCGGTTCCTAAATAGTCGGGGTTGGCAACCCCGACTATTTAGGAGGTTGTAAACCCCCAATTATACCTTAAACCCTAACATTCTATGCACTAAATAGTCGGGGTTGGCAACCCCGACTATTTAGAAACCGGATTAAGATAAAATGAATCGATTTTTGTAAATAAAACTCAAGTGGGTCTATTTTTAGAAGAAAAAAATACAAATGGATTTATTTAGAAAAATTCTTCTATAAAGAAGTGGTTTGATAAGGAAATAATGCTCGAATTCAATCATAATAACTTAACACATCATTTTTTTGAACAAATAATGCTCTTTAAAATTCGTACTAGACGTAAACTCAGCATCCAATCAAGCACCCACCTTTTCTCTAATTTTTTCCCCCTTTATTTGTTTCATGAAAATATTTCACTGAATTTTTTTTACGTGCACATATTCCGGGAACAAAACGAATTGAGTGGTTATTCATTGACGTTTCCTGCGAAACTCACTGCTATCTCAACAAACATTCTAAAATTTTTGAAAAACCGTTGGACAACGGCTAGTAAATTTTCCTCACCCCGGTACTGTATAATTTTTTTTTTTTTTTAAATCAAATAAGTCTAAACTTAGACCCTTTTCTTCTTCCCACAATCAAGGGTCAAACTATTGACTTCTATTAATTGTAGAATCACAAACACTCTTCAAATTTTCTCTTCTTCAAAAATTCATCTCTTTTTGTTCTTCTTCAACCTCTGGCTTGTGTTTCGAGTGGTTTCG